GGCATTCAATTGGCACCCAGTGGGCATTTCCAAGTCCCCACAGCCTAAATCTCAAAACTCAGTTTGATTCTTCCTCTCACAGCCACGGAGAACTCAGCTCAAGGGAAGGTGGAAACTGGAAGCGCGACCCTTTCGGTTTTGCGCGCCGAGGAACTCGGGCGAGAGCGTGGAGCACCGCCGGGGCGCGGGAGGGGTGCGGGACTCACATTTCTCAATCAGAGCCTCCTCGCAGTCTAGGCCGAAGATCTGCAGCTCCTCCGCCAGCTGCTTGGGCGACACGGACATGGTCGTCCAAGCCGGGGGCCGGGAAGTGGGCCCACCCAGCTCCGACCTGCGCCCAAGAAACCCGCAGGCGTGGCGAGCGACGAGCGCCTCGGCTTCTTATCCTTCCACCCTCCGCGGACCGTGGCAGGAGGTGATCAACTAGCCCAAGCAAGACCTCACACTGTCAGAAGGCCCCGGCCGTTGGTCACAGAGAAATACTTTTTTTTAAAATAATGAAGGTGTGGCCCCCAAACGCCCTGAATGGAGGGAGCAGAAATCTCAAGAGGACGCTTTCCTGGGGAGAACGTCCCGCTTCCTACCCCAGAGCTTCTCAGAGACGGTAACAGAACAAGAGTGGTCAGGAAAAACCCGCCAAATGGTTCGTGCAGCGCACGCATGCGCGAGAGCCTGCTCCAACCCCACCCCTTTCCCTTGCTTTCCGGGGCTCATCCGCCCCCTCACACCGGACCCCACGCACGCACGCGCGGCCCAGGGCGCGTGCGCACTAGCGGGCGTGTGGGCGAGTCTACGCACGCGCCTAACGGCCAGCGCGCCGGCGGCTGCGCACTTCTCACTCGCTGGGCGAGAAGGACGGAAGTGACCTGCGAAGCCCTGAGGTTACCTGTAAGGAAACTGAGTCTGTGTGCTAATGGCAGATACCTGGGAGATACCTGTTTTCTGGGCATTGGCTGCCCAGTGAAGCTCAGTGGCTTATGCTCGTCACTCTTTTTCCTTGTTCCGTTGTGCGCTGGCGCTGTCGTACGCGTGCCTTCGACTGCCTCAAACTGATTGTACCCCCTTCTCTGTTCCCCTTGTCATCCCTGCCTGTTGTGCCCGTGGTTCATCCGAAAAGAATGGCTTCAGTAGGGAATCTGGTTGCCATAGTTGTTATCGTGATTATCCCCGTGGTGCCAGCTACAGTGCTGGGTATTTTTCTGAATCTGGAGCATTTGGGGGGTTATGAGGTGGGAAGGTGACAGAAATAATTTAGTTTTGGACACGTTAAGTTTGAGTGCCTCTGGGATTTCCAGGTAGAGATTCCCCGTGAGTGACTGGGAATTCCCTAGGGAGGCTTAGGAGTAAAGGTAGGTCACTAAAAGAGAGTTTAAGATGAGAAGAGGGTTCCTCCCTTGAAATATATCATAATTCTTTGAGCTAAAAATCTCAACCGTAGGCGTCATACTCTGCTGGTGGGGTGGTAGACTGGTAGAGCGTTTCTAGAAAAGAGTTTAGCAATATGTGTCAGGAGCCTTAAAAAATATCCATCCCAGACTGGGCGCGTTGGCTCACGCCTGTAATCTCAGCCCTTTGGGAGGCCGAGGTGGGCGGATCACGAGCCCAGGAGTTCAAAATCAGCCTGGGCAACATGGTGAAACCCTTTCTCTACAAAAAATTAGCCGGCCGCGGTGGCAGATGCCTGTGATCCCAGCTAGTCCCGGGTTGAGGCAGGAGGATCGCTTGAGTTCGGGAGGTCGAGGCTTCAGTGAGTCAAAATCACCTCTCTGCACTCCAGCCTGGGCAGTAAGCCACATTGCCATGTATGTACCTATGCAACAATCTTGCATGTTCTTCACATGTACCCCAAAACCTAAACCCATCTCTACTGAAAATACAAAAAATTAGCCAGGTGTGGTAGTGTGCATAGTCCCAGCTACTCGGGAGGCTGAGGTAGGAGAATCGCTTGAACCCGGGAGGTGGAGGTTGCAGTGATCCAAGATTGTGCCATTGCACTCCAGCCCGAGCAACAGAGACTTGGGATGTAGAGAAATTGGAGACTTTAAACATGCTGGTATTAATGCAAAATGGTACAGTGGCAGTGGAAAACAGTCTGTAATCCCAGTTACTCAGGAGGCTGAGGCACAAGAATTGCTTGAGCCTGGGAGGCAGGGATTGCAGTGAGCCAAGATCGTGCCACTGCACTCCAGCCCAGGTAACAGGGCAAGACTCTCAAAAAAAAAAAAAAAAAAAAAAAAAGTGTATGTATACACAAATACTTCTACAAGAATATTAACAGCAGAACTATTTATCATGACCAAGGAGTAGAACTAATCCAAATGTCTATCAACTGAGGGATGAATAAACAAAATGTGGTATATACAGTGGGATTTTATCTGTAAATCCCATTTGAATGATGGGGATTCCATAAACTCAGAGAGGTGATTTGCTGGAGGTCACAAAGCTGATAAGTAACAGAAAGTAAACTGTGGACCAGTTCCTTTTCATTAAATCTGGGTAGGTTAACAAACTATTGTGGTGAGCTCTCAGGCAACAATGGAGTGAAATTTACAAATAGCTCCTGTGGCTGACCTTCCTGGACTCTGATTGTGAATGGGGACCTCATGGACCTCACCTTAGTTAGTGTGAAATGTTAGAAGAGGTTAATGCCAGGGTCCAATTGTACATTGTTGTTAGGACACACAGGGTGGGTTGGCCACATGTATTCTGTAGCCCACCCGGAATGAGCACAGAGTGGAAATCAGATGGAACATGGAGTGCAGTGGCTTGATCATGATTCACTGCAGCCTCGACCTCCCGGGGCTCACTCAATCCTCCCACCATAGCCTCTCGAGCAGCTGGGACTACAGGTACACACCACCACGACCTAGCTAATTTTTTTTTTCTTTTTTTTTTTTTTTAGAGATGGAATTTTACAGTGTTTTTTGTTTGGTTGGTTGTTTTTGTTGTTATAGGGATGGGGTTTCAGCATGTTGCCCAGGCTGGTCTTAAGCTCCTGGGCTCAAGCAATAACACCTGCCTCAGCCTCCCAAAGTGTTGGGATTACAGGTGTGAGCCACTATGCCCGACCTATTTTATACTTTTATTTTATTTATTTTACACTTGTTTTTTTTAAAGATGGGGTTTTACCATGATGGCCAGGCTGGTCTTGAACTCTTGGCCTCAGGTGATCCACCCACCTCAGCCTCCCAAAGTGCTAGGATTACAGGTGTGAGCCACCATGCCTGGCAATTTTACACTTCTATCTATGCTTTTTTTTTTTTTTTTTGGTGACAGAGTTTCCCTCTTGTTGCCCAGGCTGGAGTGCAGTGGTGGGATCTTAGCTCACTGCAAACTCCACCTCTCAGGTTCAAGTGATTCTCCTGTCTCAGCCTCCTAAGTAGCTGAGATTTCAGGCATGTGCCATCATGCCCGGCTAATTTTGTATTTTTAGTAGAGACAGGGTTTTGCTATGTTGACTGGGCTGGTTTCGAACCCCTGACCTCAAGTGATTCACCCTCCTTGGCCTCCCAAAATGCTGATTACAGGCGTGAGCTACCTCACCCGGCCATCTGTGTGTTTTAATTGTGGTTAAAGCACATAACATGTATCCTCTTAACCATTTGTAAGTGTTCAGTTCAGTAGTGCAAGTACATCTTTTATTTATTTTTGATGCTCTCCAGAAGGGAATTTGGGAATTTGAGGAGGCACTACCCTATGCAGGTATATTGCCACCAGGTGGCGGCAATGTAGTATGGTCTTCCGGGTCTGGTCTGAGTTTCTGCAGGATTTTAAAATAATGTTTATTTATGATATGCAAATGTAATTTTGTTACATGCATAGTTTGTGTAGTGGTGAAGTCAGGGCTTTCAGGGTATCCATCACATAAATAACACATATTGTACCCATGCAGTCATCTCTGATCATCTACCCCCACTGTCTCACCCTTCAGAGTTGCAGTTGTCTACCATTCCACACTCTGCACCCATGTGTACGTATTATGTAGCTCCCTCTTAGAAGTGAGAATGTGCAGTATTTGTCTTTCTGTGTCTGACTTGTTTTACTTAATGGCCTCCAGTTCCATCCGTGTAGCTGCAAAAGACATGATTTCATTCCTTTTTATGACCCAATAGTATTCCATGGTGTATATGTGCCACATTCTCTTTATCCAGTCATCTGTTGATGGGTGCTTAGGCTGATTCACTATCTTTGCTTTTGTGAATAGTGCTGTGGGAAACGCACTGGTGCAGGTATTTTTGATGTAATGATTGCTTTTCCTTTGGGTAGACACTAGGTAGTGGTATTGCTGGAGTGCATGTTAGTTCTATTTTTAGTTCTTTGAGAAATTGTTGTATTGTCTTGCATAGAGGTTGTACTAATTTACAGTTCCCCAACAGTGTATAAGAATTACGTTTTTGGCTGGGTGAGGTGGCTCACGCCTGTAATCCCTGTACTTTGAGAGGCCAAGGCAGGTGGCTTACTTAAGGTCAGGAGTTTGAGACCAGCCTGGCCAAAATGGTGAAACCTTGTGTCTACTAAAAATACAAAAAATTCGCTGGGAGTGGTGGTGGGCATCTGTAGTCCCAGCTATTTGGAAGGCTGAGGCAAGAGAATCTTGAACCTGGGAGGTGGAGGTTGCAGCGAGCCGAGGTTGCGCCACTGCACTCCAGCCTGGGCAACAGAGTGAGGATCCGCCTCAACAACAACAACAAAAAAGAGTTCCCTTTTTTCCACATCATTGCCAACATCAATATTGTCATTATTTAAATTTTCTTCCTCCCAAATTCCCCCCATGCTGTTATGTGAAACTAAGGCTTTGTGCATAGTGGGAGGCAAGATTTAAAGAAACAAAACTTGGGATGGTCATGGTGGCTCATGCCTGTAATCCCAGCGCTTTGGGAGACTGAGGTAGGTAGATCAACTGAGGTCAGGAGTTCGAGACCAACCTGGTCAACATGGGAAACTCATTTCTACTAAAAATACAAAATTTAGCTGGGCATGGTGCCTGTAATCACAGCTACTCAGGAGGCTGAGGCAAGAGAATTGCTTGAATCCAGGAGGTGGAGGTTGCAGTGAGCTGAGATTGTGCTACTGCACTCCAGCCTGGGTGACAGAGCAAGACTCCGTCTCAAAAAAAACCCAAAGCTCTAAACTTTGAACCTATTAGCAACTGTTTATTGAGTTACTACTATGTCCGAGGCACTGAGTTAGACCTGTGGTAAAGGTGGTGGGAGCTGAGAGGGAATAATAACAGTAGCTGGGATGGGCATCTTGTTGGCTGCTTCTCCCTGATTATCTTTTTTTTTTTTTTTTTTCTCCCTGGTTATCTTTACTCCATAGGCAGCCCTGTGTGCCATGACTCTTACCCACCCTCGCCTCCCATAGTTCTCCCTATTGAGGCCCCTGTGAGTTGCTTGAAATTCAAATATGATCATGTCAGTATTCCCGTTCCCTTAGGACCCTGTCAGTGAGTTCCTCTTACTTTTAGGATGAAGAGTGAGCCTCTCAATCTGACCCAAGAGGCCTGTTTTTTTCTTTCTTTCCTTCCTTCCCTCCTTCCTTCCTTCCCTCTTTTTTCTCTTTCTTTTCTCTCTCTCTTTCCTTCCTTCTCTCTCTCTCTTTCTTTCTTTTCTTTTCTTTTTTCTTGTCTTTCTGTCTTTTTTGAGACAGAATCTCGGTCTGTCACCCAGGCTGGAGTGCAGCAGTACAATCTCAACTCACCGCAAACTTCGCCTCCCAAACTCAAGCAAGTCTCCTGCTTCACCCTCCTGAGTAGCTGGGACTATAGGTGCCTGCCACTACGCCTGGCTAATTTTTGTATTTTTAGCAGAGATGGGGTTTCAGCACATTGGCCAGGCTGGTCTTGAACTCCTGACCTCAAGTGATCTGGCTTGACCTCAAGTGGGAGGCTGCCTGGGCCTCCCAAAGTGCTGAGATTATAGGTGTGAACCACTGCACCCGGCCATTGAAGAGATATTTTTAATTTTGAGGAAATCCAGTTTATCAATTTTTTTCCTTTATGCTTTTTGTTTCCTCAAAACTTTGTATAACCCAAGATCACAAAGATTTTCTCCTGTTTTCTTCTAGGCTGAGGCAGGTGGATCACTTGAGGTCAGGAGTTCAAGCAGAACATGAGGCAAATGTGGGACTCTTCTGAATTCAGGCTCTATGCAATTGTACAGGCTGCACGCCCATGAAGCTGGCTGTGTTCATAGTTGTTCCCAGCTAATGCCAGAGGGTCCCTTTGCTTGAAGCCAGCAGCGGGTTGGGACCACTCTGGTGAGCTGCCCTTCTTTGGGCCTCTGCTTCTCAGCTGCTCCATTTCTGCTCAGTGGGGCTGTATTATAATCCTCACCACATCCTCCTGAGACCTGTGGACAGCCATGAGGGGAGGAGTATGCTAGCAACAGCCCTGGCTGGGGAGCCAGGAGACCTGGCGGGGTGCCCTCTCCTGAGGGAGCTGGGTGTGGGCTAGGATTATCTGACAACTGACCTTGGGTTGACCATGAGTGAGTGCTAAGAGAGAAGTAGTCTGAGAACCCAAGAAAGGCAGCCCTAAGGAGATAACAATGAAAGCATTATTGAAACTTTTTTCCTTCTTTTGTGATTCTGCATAGTCATCCTCTCTTGCACAGAACTTCCGTCTAGAATGGTAGGAAATCACCCATAACAGCATGCATTACCTTATTTGTTAAAAGCTTTTAGGACCCATTAGAAGAGGAGCTCCTCTTGCAAATGAGGGAGTCTTTGTGCCAGTGGCTCTTCGTCAGTGGGACACCAACGCTGGAGCAGAAGCAGCAGGAGCAGGGCGATGATGGAAATGTTCTGGATCTATGCTGCTGGATTCGGTAGCTGCCAGCCCCACGTGGCTACGGAGCACTTAGAATGGAAGCTGAGGTATTACATTTTAAATTTCATGTAATTTTGGCTGGGCACAGTGGCTCATGCCTGCAACTCCAGCACTTTGGGAGGCCAAGGTGCGCGGATCCCAAGGTCAGGAGATCGAGACTGGCCTGGCCAATATGGTGAAACCTCATCTCTGCTAAAAATACAAAAATTAGCTGGGCATGGTGGCGCATGCCTGTAATCCCAGCTACTCAGTAGGCTGAGGCAGGAGAATCGCTTGAACCAGTGAGTCAGAGGTCGCAGTGAGCCGAGATGGCACCACTGCCTTCCAACCTGGCGACAGAGCGGGACTCCATCTCAAAAAAAAAATTCATGTAATTTTAACTAGTCAAAAAATTTTCTATAGCTACATGTGGCAGTGATAACCTAGTTGGATAGTAGAAACTAAATCTAGAGCTAGAACCACGCCGATCCTCCCACCTCGGCTTCTGAAAGTGCTAGGATTACAGGTGAGAGCCACTGTGCCTGGCTCCACTGTTGACACCTTCCGCTCAGGGTAAAAAAAAAAAAAAAGATTCCTTTCAAACATTACTGCTCATTGACAAAGCACCTGGTCAGCCAAGAGCCTGATGGAGATGTGCAAGGAGATGAATGTTGTTTTCATGCCTCAAACATAACATCCGTTCTGCAGCTCATGGATGAAGGAAGAATTTCAACTTTTAAGTGTTATTATTTAAGAAATACACGTTGTGGCCCGGCGTGGTGGCTCACCCCTTTAAACTCAGCACTTTGGGAGGCCGAGGTGGGCAGATCACTTGAGATCAGGAGTTCGAAGCCAGCCTGACCAACATGGTGCAACCCCGTCTCCACTAAACATACAAAAGTTATCCAGGTGTGGTGGTGGGCGCCTGTAATCCCATCTGCTCAGGAGGCTGAAGCAGGAGAATCTCCTAAACCTGAGAGACAGAGGTTGCAGTGAGCTGAGATTGTGCCACTGCACTCCAGCCTGAGCGACAGAGTGAGACTCTTGTCTCAAAAAAAAAAAAAAAAAAAAGGCCAGGTTCGGTGGCTCACGCCTGTAATTCCAGCACTTTGGAAGGCCAGGGTGGGTGGATCACAAGGTCAAAAGTTCAAGACCAGCCTGGCCAACACAGTGAAACCCCATCTCTACTAAAACTACAAAAATTAGTCGGGCACGGTGGCGTGTGCGTATAGTCCCAGCTTCTTGGGAGACTGAGGCAGGAGATTTGCTTGAATTCAGGAGGTGGAGGTTGCAGTAGGCCAAGATTGAGCCACTGCACTCCAGCTTGGGCAACAGAGTGAGATTTCATCTAAAAAAATAAATAAATAAAAACAAACAAACAAAAAAACTACAAAGATTTTATAAGGCTATAGCTGCCATGGAAAGTGATTCCTCTGATGGCTCTAGGCAAAGTAAACTGAAAACCTGGAAAGGATTCACCATTCTAGGTGCCATTAAGAACTTTTCAAAACATCAGCATTAACAGGAGTTTGGAAGAAGTCGATTTCAACTCTCATGGATGACTGCAGTGGAGGAAGGAACTGCAGAGGTGGTGGAAATAGCAAGAGAACTAGAATGAGAGGCGGAGTCTAAAGATATGACTGAATTGCCGCAATCGCATGAGAAAACTTGAACAGATGAGCCGTTGTTTCTTATTGATGAGCAAAGAAAGTGGCTTCTTGAGATGGAATCTGCTCCTAATGAAGGTACTGAGAACACTGTTGAAATAAAGGGATTTAGAATATGACACAAACAGAGTTGATAAAGCAGTGGTAAGGTTTGGGAGGAGTGACTCTAATTTTGAAATAAGTTCTTCTGTGGATAAAATGCAATCAAACAGCATTGCATGCTACAGAGAAATCTTTCGTGAAAGAGTCAATTTATGTGGCAAACTTCATTGTTTTAATTGTATTCTGATGATAGCAGGCTATTTCCGTTTTATCTGTGAAGATGATAGATTGGCCTGGTGGCATGGCTTACACCTGTAATCCAGCACTTCGGCAGGCTGAGGCGAGAGGATCACCTGAGCCCAGGAGTTGGAAGTTACAGTAAATGAGCTGATTGCACCACTGCACTTGTCTGAAGGATAGAGGGGGATCCTGTCTCAAAAAAGAAAAAAGGCTGGGTGTGGTGGCTCACGCCTGTAATCTTAGCACTTTGGGAGGCTGAAGTGGACAGATCACAAGGTCAGGGGTTTGAGACCAGCCTGACCAACATGGTGAAGTCCCTATCTCTACTAAAAATACAAAAAGTAGCCGGGCATGGTGGCGTGTGCCGGTAATCCCAGTTACTCAAGAGGCTGAGGCAGGAGAATCACTTGAACCCTTGAGGCGGAGACTGCAGTGAGCCAAGATCATGCCACTGTATTCCAGCCTGGGCGACAGAGCGAGACTTCGTCTCAAAAAGAAAAGAAAAGAAATGGCCACAGGTATCCCAACCTTTAGCAACCGCTACTCTGATCAGTCAGCAGCCCTCGACATCGAGACAAGACTCTCTACCAGCAAAAAGACTGTGACTTGCTAGAAGTTCAGATGAACTTGTTAGCATTTTTACCAATCATGGCTGAAATTCGTCTCAAATGACAGGCAGTCTTTTGACCCGGCTTGCTCATGACTGTGATTTGTAGGGAATTTGGCCATGCGATGAGTTCCTTCCATGTTCACTGTGACCATGCATTCAGTGAGGGGAGAATCTGGCAGGACTGTCCACACACCTGCGTGATTTACCTCCAGGTGCTTTGTCAGACTCCCAGGCAGTTTACAAAGTTCAGTGAACTGGAAGCTGTTTTTATTTACAGATGGCGGGTCAGGAACAGTGGGGACTGCCCTGGGGTCCCAACATGGGCCAGGGGATTCTCCATTGGCCCCTGCCCCTGCAAAGGAAGAAATAAATGACCCCACTGCCCCATCCCCCACAGGCCACACGGGCTTTCCCAAGTGCTGGAGAGACGGGGTGGGCAGGGTTCCCCTTCTGCTCTGTCTTCTGGGTGGTGTCCAACAATGGCAGGTTATTGGTCTCCACCAGCAAAGAGCCTGTGGTGGCTGCCAGGATGGGAGCCAGGCCAGATCTAAGGGCTGTAGCACTGGGCTGTGGCTGCTGAGGATGTAGACCAGGGGCACGAGGCAGGAGCCCAGGCGAGTGCTGCAAAGCTCAACCCTCATCCCCTGTCCACCTGCAGAGAGAGAGCCTGCCATAAGAACTGGGAATGCACAGCTACGTGATGATCAAAATCGTAATAAAATAGCTCCGTGCGTCTGCTCCTTCGAGATGGGACACCATAAAGGCCTCTCCTAATGGAGGCTGGTTTCCCCAGATGCCCAGCTCGAAGCTCTGAGGGACGGAGACTGCCCTCTAGGTCCTAGAGCTCCATCTTCTCACCTGACTTCAGTGGGGAAGAGCTCCATGGTATAGAGGTAAAGAAAGCTAAAGAGCCAGCCAGCCTCCCTTTCCCAAATAAATTGAACGTTATCTGAATGGTCTTCACGTCTGCGAGGAGGAAGTGGGTGGGAGGTGGATAGCAGGGAGTTAATTCGGTATCAGCGCCGACCTCCTGTTTGGATGCTTCAGTGTGTCAGGTGCCTCCCTGCCTCAGGTCCTTTGCACTCACTCTGTTGCCCAGGCTGGAATGCAGTGGTGCGTGCGATCATAGCTCACCAAAGCCTTGACCTCTCAGGCTCAAGCAGTCCTTCTGCCCCAGCCTCCTAAGTAGCTGGGACTACAGGGGAATGCCATTATGCCCAGCTAATTTTTTAATTTTTTGTGGGGGTGGGGGGGGTCTCACCATGTTGCCCAGGCTGGCCTCGAACTCCTGGGCTCAAGTGATCCTCCCACCTCGGCCTCCCAAAATACTGGGATTACAGGTGTGAGCCACCATGCCTGGACTCACCTACTTATTTCTTGCTTTTTTGTTTTGTTTTTGAGACGGAGTCTTGCTCTGTCGCCCAGGCTGGAATGCAGTGCCGTGATCTCAGCTTACTGCAGCCTCTGCCTCCCGGGTTCAAGTGATTCTCCTGTCTCAGCCTCCTGAGTAACTGGGATTACACGCCACCACACCCAGCTAATTTTTGTATTTTTAGTAGAGACGGGGTTTCACTATGTTGGCTAGGCTGGTCTCTAACTCCTGACCTCAAGTAATCCACCTACCTTGGCCTCCCAAAGTGCTGGGATTACAGGCATGAGCCACTGTGCCTGGCCTCCGTTTTAACAAATGATAACACAAACTGTGTGCCCCTGGACAAGTTACTAACCTCTCTTTGCTTCAGTTTTGAAGATACCTTACGGGGTCCTTGAGTAATGAGGTAAGCATGCCAAGTGCTAGTTCAGTGCCTGGCAAGTAATAAACACTCAATAAAAGCATCTTGCTCGTTCTTCCCAGCAGCAGTGAGGGCAAGTTGAGGCTGAGTGGGTAAACTTGTCCAAGGTCACAATTAGGAACAACTTGAAATCAGGATCTTCTGGCTCTGCAGTCTGTTCCTGGAACCATCAAACCTGACCCTGTTGTGCATCATGAGATCCAGAAGAAATCCTCATCTTCAGGAAGAAAAACATTGGCAATAATCACACAGCCAGCCAGCAGTGGCAGGGAGCCGACTGTGACTCAGGGGTCAAGATAGCCCACACTCAGGGCCACCAGCAGCTTCACAGGCAAATCGATGGATGTAAACAGCGCTTGTATTCAGTAGATGCTGCAGTTCAATTTCTGCAGATCCAAAGCCAACCCATAGAAGGAAAAGCCCGAAGAGATCCTGGAAGAGAAGAGGTGCCAGTGATTTGCTTCCAGTGGAAAGAGTCTCTGTTCAGCCTTTGGGGCTGCAGACGGGACGTGATTTCATTCTGTAACCAAACCCTCTCAGGTTCAGACTTTTTCAGTTTCTCATCTTCTCGGATTACCTAGCTTCAATCCGTTGCTTGCATCTCTTTCTTGGGCTGATGGGACACTGGGGAAGGACACCTCGGGAGCAGCTGTCAGGCGAGTGACTCAGGGTTACTCATTGGGGCCCCACTTACCATTCCACCGCAATGCAGCAGGTTGTCCTGCAGAGTCCTGGGGTGCGGAAGAGATCCAGGAGGAATGGGGACTCCTTCACAGTCACCGAGTCCTCTTGCATGTGGGAACTCACCATCTGGCAGGAGAAGACCAGAGCCAGGGAAGCCAAAAGGAAGGGCCTTGGCCCGCAGTCCTTCACCTTCCCAACACCGTGAAGTTACCTGATTTCTCCTGGATTGGCTGATTCTCTCACATACCTCCAAATAAAGTTAGAGGACTTCAAATTTTGGGTTTGTGGTCTCCTTTTTTATTTTTTGAGATGGAATTTTTCTCGCGTTGCCCAGGCTGGAGCAATGTCGCAATCTCAGCTCACTGCAACCTCCGCCTCCTGGGTCCAAGTGATTCTCCCGCCTCAGCCTCCCAAGTAGCTGGGATTACAGGCGTGTGCCACCATGCTGGGCTAATTTTTGTATTTTTAGTGGAGATAGGGTTTCACCATGTTGGCCAGGTCATCTCAAACTCCTGACCTCAGGTGATCTGCCCACCTCAGCCTCCCACAGTGCTGGGATTACAGGCATGAGCCACCGCACCTGGCCTTTTCAGCCAAGATCACGCCTTTGCACTCCAGTCTGGGCAACAAGAGGGAAACTCCATCTTAAATAAATAAATAAATAATGAAAATCAAAAGTAATAACCAAAACCAGCCACCATTTATTCAGCATGTGCCAGGGTGGTGTGTCAGTACTTGGTATTAACTAACTTATTTAATCCTCACAACACTCTGTGAAGGCGATTCTATTACTGTCCCCATTTTACAGATGAGGAAACTAAGGCTCAGAAGGTTATATAACTTGCCCCAAATCAGAGAGCTATGAGTGATGAGCTAGGAGTCAAACCCAGACAGCTGGCCCACAGTCTAGGATTCTAGCCATTCAGCCATATTGCTTCTTCATGTTCACGGTTAGAAAGGTCCCTGCCCTTCCCTCTCCATTACCATTCTCAAGTCTCACTCCCCAACTGCAGCTACCCTCGACTCTTCTAGGTGTTTCTTCTTGAATTTGTTTCCATCTTTCATGCTGCTGTGGCTTAATTTTCCAACTTTTGATTATCCTTTTTGAAGAAGAATGAGGCTTTAGCCCTCTTACTCTACCACCTCTGACCTATACTTTCCCTTCCCCCTCCTCCCAGCATAAGTACTGTTTACTATGTACTGCACTCCCATTATATTTCCTTTCTTGTTGTCACTTTTTGTTTTTCCTGGAGTTAATAATTGCCTTTTTTGTTTATTTGCTTGTTTATATACTTAGTTTTTTAAGTGCCTGTCATGAATTTACCCCCGAGTTCTCTGATAGAATCATAAAACTGTTAATAAGATCAACAACAATCTATCAGTACTGTTTTATTCTTAGTGATTGGCCCCCAATATGAACTCTATTCTCTAGATTTGTTGCATGACTCTTTTATTTCCCCCTTTGCCTTCCTTCTATTTTGGATCTCCTGGTTTACAACTTTTTTTTTAAGTCCCACTTCATGACAACTTTTTTTTTTTTTTTTTGAGATGAAGTCTCTGTCACCCAAGATGGAGTGCAGTGGCACAATCTCAGCTCACTGCAACCTCCGCCTCCTGGGTTCAAGTGATTCTCTTGCCTCAGCCTCCTGAGTAGCTGGGATTACAAGTGCATGCCACCACGCCTGGCTGATTTTTGTATTTTTATTTATTTATTTATTTTAAAGATGGGGTTTCAGGCCGGGCGCGGTGGCTCACGCCTGTAATCCCAGCACTTTGGGAGGCCGAGGCGGGTGGATCACGAGGTCAGGAGATTTAGATCATCCTGGTCAACATGGTGAAACCCCGTCTCTACCAAAAATATAAAAAATTAGATGGGCATGGTGGTGCGTGCCTGTAATCCCAGCTACTCAGGAGGCTGAGGCAGGAGAATTGCCTGAACCCAGAAGGCGGAGGTTGCGGTGAGCCGAGATCGTGCCATTGCACTCCAGCCTGGGTAACAAGAGCAAAAGTCCATCTCAAAAAAAAAAAAAAAAGATGGGGTTTCACATGATGGCCGGGCTGGTCTTGAACTCCTGACCTCAAGTGATCCACCTGCCTCTGCCTCCTAAAGTGCTAGGATTACAGGTGTGAGCTACTGCACCTGGCCTGATTTAACCTTTGTTTTGGTGGAATGTATTCTGCCATAGTTTCTGAGAAACAGTACATCAGGATCCATTTCCCACAGGTCCTCTGATTATCTGATGGTTCTAGTTACTCCATTTGAATGTTTAAACTTACCTCTTAAGTCTGGGCATGTGGCTCATGTCTGTAATTCTGTAATCCCAGCAATGTGGAAGGCCGAGGCGGACAGATTACTTGAGCTCAGGAGTTCAAGATCAGCCTGGGCAACATGGCAAAACCCTGTCTCTATGAAAAACACAAAAATTGCCTGGGTGTGGTGGCATGCACTTGTTGTCTCAGCTACTTGGGAGGCTGAGATGGGAGGATGGCTTCAACCTGGGGGGTAGAGGTTGCAGTCAATGAAAATCATGCCACGGCACTCCAGCCTGCGTGACAAAAACCAGACTCTGTCTCAGAAATAAGCAAATTTTTTATTTTTTAAAAAGAAGCTTGCCTCTTTTTCACCTTTGGTAGCCCAACTGAGGTCCTCATGGGAAAGTATTAATAACGGGAGGAAGAGTGAAGTAGCATGTGGGTTTCCTTTATGCCTACCTGCAGTGAGTTTTTCCCCTTGCTCCTTTCTGCCATTTAATCTTGCCACAGCCTGCAGATTCTTCACAGCCATGTCATGTTTGTCGTGGGTGATAAGCCAGCATGCTGGTTCTGGTAGTCCCCTGATAATGAGAGGGGCGGGGAGCTGCAGGCATATTCACACAGGGCAGGGCTCCCTGCCTGAGCAGCTAGAGGTGCCAGGGGACCTCTCCACCCAGGGTGCACAGCAGGTGCTGGGGGACAGGTGCTGGACTAGCTGTCCACTGCAGGGACCCACTGGAAAATCCAAATAAGAAAAACAGGGGTTGGTGGGGAGAATTTCACTGCAGTGAGAGCAACTGCTCTCACGGGGCTGCTGGTTGTCTCTGCTGTTTTCCTTCTGATCACGAAGCAAGGTACAGATGTAGGCATGTGTTTGTTTAGGCAAAACTATCATCATGTTGTACACGCTCTGTCACCTACATTTCTCACTTAACGGATGCTCTGACCATCTCTCCGTGGCATTAACTATGGTTCTTCTTCATCGTTTTTATGAGACTTCCTATTTGCTTTCCTTGTGGTTCTGGACTTGTATGGGGAGCCTGTTCTCATTGGTTGAGTGAGTGACCAGAAACATCTGGTCCGATCCCCAAGGGGCATTCCCTAAAGCCAAGTGAGCCTGGGGCTTATCAGAGACCTCACAGTTGGCTGTCAGTCATTCAAGACTGAATTTGGTGTTGGCTTGTGGAGCGCCATAGTCATATCTAGGGACACACATCAAACACCCCATGTGCAGCCTTTGAAGGTGGATCTGGCCCACGCAGAACCCTAAATGGCCTAGGGCTTTTCACCAAAGGTGATACGGAGAAAAAAAAAATCAAATGAATACACCGAATATTTCCTGGGTTCCCTCTTCTCTGCTTGAGGCGGAATCCCAGCGGGCCCAGCCAAAGCTCCCTCAGATGCTACTCTGATGTGGAATAGTTAGAGCCAGCAGGAGGTCGACCTTCCACACTTTAGTTAAAAAAGTAAGCTCCGAGCTCAGCAAATACTGTCCACAAAGGAAGCAGGGCGGGGGCAGCCTCCACTGTGAAATATGGACCTGGGAGCTGATGTACCAGGTGTACAGAAGAATAATCACATAGGAGACAGATGCTGTGTTCGCAGCCAGTGCCACTGCCAGAGGAGGTAGGCCAGGCCGGAGAGGACCCCCTGCCCCAGGGTGATCATGTCCATGCTGTAGGTGTTCACCAGCATCTGCCTCTCGGTTGGAGTCCACTCCCTGGCTGGGGATGACAAACCTTCCATTACCGGAAATCAGCTGCACAGGCTCAGAGAGGTCAGCCTGGTCGTCAGTGATGTAGTCTCCCAGGCGGTGTCCCAGCTGGCCTTTCCCCTGACGGATGGGGCTCCTGGGTGGGCTTCTGACACCTACATTGGTCTTTTTCCTGCATCAGTGCC